CATCTCATAGGGCATTATACCATTTCCTGTTAGTACTATAGCATCTTATAGGGCATTATACCATTTTCTGTTAGCACTATAGCATATCATGGGTGCATTTGAACGTCACATAGAGTGGTATAATATCACATGTGGGGGATGCATGTTCACCAACATAAAGGATAGTGTGTGGAATTATGTCAATAGTAAGTAATAGTACTCACATATATTCTGTGGATAATCTTGTAGAAGTTTTATTCATTGGATGATTAATAACAGTGATACCATATGCAGAAGGATTTCCATGGACAGCAGGATCCAAGTTGGCTCTCAATATAGCATTATTGAGGGCATTCAGATAGGTTGGCATACTATGAAATCCTTTATGGTTGTGCCATGCCTGTCAATTAAAAGGCCAATAATCACTAATCATGTTGGTCCACAGCGCCAATTGAATAAGTTACAGCCCCAAGTCATGCAATAGTACAGTAAATACAATTATTACATATGTACTGCAGTTTATTTTGATTCGTCCCTGAAATCAAAATCGGTATTTCCAAAACCCATATGCAAATGAGGTCCGATAGCAAACAAAGTAGTCCCTTCAGGAGTACAGTTTTTCGGAATAAACAATATTTAGAAGTACGATATTTTCCCCTTGGGGTACATGAATATACTTGCCGAGTGACATAAAATTTGAACAACAGTAATGGTACTTTTAGGCAGTCACTTATTTTGGCCCAAACTAATTTGCATATCACCCATGCAATGATGTTTTCGGTATTTTCACGGTCAATATGCAAATGAACATGGTATTTTCATTGGCTACCGAACTATTTTTATTTTGTAAACACATTTTCGTCTGCTATTTTTATCCAGTTCAATCGTTCAACAACATTTTTGGCATGTCAGTGTACATCACATGGAATACTACGATTGGAGAACTTAATGTGTGTTGACCACCTGGAAACTGAGTTTTATAAACCTTGAAAGGCTCTCAGAAGATCCACCAGCAGTAAAATCAGCGATTACTATG